GAAAATTTTCAGGAGAGACTTTTTTGCCTCTCCTTCCTCCCAAAAGAACAAGAAAGGGGGATTAAAAAAAATAATATATATATATAAAAGTTTTCGACTTCTCTCTACCCCCCTCTCCGTTGCTTTAAATATATTTAAATTCTGAGGGGGGCGCTCAGAAATATTTCTCAGAGCTGAAGCACTAAGATGGCCGCCTTGAAATTATTTTTAAAACAACCCCCCCTCCAGGACCGCCACCCCCTCCATGAAGAAAGGGAGAGGGGGAAAAATCCCCTTTTAAAACAAAATGGCTGGCTTAATATTTCATTTTTCACCCCCCCATTCTCCTCCCTGTTACACCCCCATCTCCAAGCTTTTACCCAGAAACCCACAAATTTCTCCCTTTTTTCATAACTGATTAGTGCACAGATTAATAGAGATATTTTCCTTGTGTACTGAAGTGTGCGTGTGTGTGTGTGTGTGTGTGTGTGTGTGTGTGTTTGGGGGGGCATGAAGGATTTCTGCATAAAACAAAAATGGCTGCTGTGACTAACTCCCCCCTTATAAAAAATATTTGAAGGGGGGGCATTAATCAGTACTCATGCTCAGTCTGACATCAGCATAAATTGTTAAAGGTTAACTAGTTAAATACTAGTCCAACTAGATTTAATTTTTCTCTTTTCTTTACTAGTCTCTTCCTCCCCACCTCCCTTCTCTAAAGAAAAGCTTTTTTTTTTTTTCTGAATACTTCAGAAGGGAGTGGTTTGATGTGAAGGTTTTTTTTTTTTTTTCCCCTTCAGGCATTGAAAAGCAAAAGATGAAATATATGTTTATATATAAATCTGTTTCTGCATACCTCATTGAAGTCAAAATGCATTTAATTGTGTACGTATCTTTTAAGTGAAAAGCGATACTGGATTTTTTTCTTCTTTCTTTAAAAAAAGTGATAGAAATTCTAGTGAGTTTTGGGGGAGAGATATGAATAGATACGATGATTGAGTTTTTTTCAAAGGAGTCCATGTTTGATTCTCCCCTTTGCCCAGCCTTTTCAGTGATTTTATAATTGCTGTAAATTTTATCTTCACACTTTTCCCCCTTCCCCCCTCCCTTCATTAATTGTTTGAATGTAAAATTCATCTGACTTAGGAAATTAATTTGGGGTAAATAGAACAGATTTTTAGAATAAAGGGGAAAGTCAAGTCTGACGATTGTGAAATTATTTTCTCTTTTCTCCCATTTCAGTACATTTCCTTCCTCCATGATCTCCAACACTCAAAGTGGAAGAAACTGAGGTACTGTGTGAAAGAGAAAAGTAACTGGGACTGAGAGAAAGAGGTAGGGGGTTACATTCAGGTGTTTTCATCTGACTTTCTAATCTTTGATTTCCACCTGTACTCCAGTGTTTATCTTAAAATGGTACCAGTAATCACATGGAAGGTTGGAAAGGAATCCAAAAGTAGCTTTGTCCTCCACAGACTTGACCGGAGAGATCTAGACATAAAATGAAACTTGGGCCAGTTGGAGGTGGCAACAAGCAATGCTAGCAAAGATAGGAAGGTAGATAGCTCAGTTCTTCCTTTTTTCATTCTTGTCACTTTTTTCTTACTCTTGTTTTCGCCTGTCCTTTTGATCACACTTTGCCCCTTCTCTTGCTTCCCATCCCATGCCTGTGGAATCATTTCTATCTAGATTATTTTTCTATCTCTTAAGTAGAGGTGCCAGCCCTTCAGCCTCTGCAGTGCCCAGGACCATCCTAAGAGGGAAAGGCAGGTAGGCAGCAACCAGAAGGTATTAGTGATGGGGAGTAAATACACAAGTTTTTGTTTAAGAGGCTAAAATAGTCTTTATATTCAGTCTCCACCCCACCCCCACCCCCGCCCACGACACACATTGCGGAGCATTGGTTTCTATCTTTTTCTTAATCTTTGGAATTCTGTTGCTGCTCCTTCCTTATCATTCCTGTAGTGAGTCTGATTCCTATTCTTCTTCCACCAGATTTTACTCTCCTGTCTTCTCTCTCAGTCTCTGTACTAGTCCATTGGGGTTTCCCTCTCTGTATATGGGCTTCTCTGTATGTGTGTCTTTATTTCACACTGAGACTGTCTCTCATCCCTTTGACCGTAAGGCTCTGTCACCTCTAAGTGACTTTCCATCTCTGTCTTCTGTTTACTTCTGTTTTCTGGTCTCTGTGTATGCCTCTTCCTTATGTGTGCTTGTCTTTCTCCTTTCTGCCCCACCCTGTATGTGTCTATGGATCATACTGTGTCTGGGAAGAGTGTCTCCACACGTGTGTGGGCCACACTGTGCATCATGTGCATCGCAGTCTCTCTGCCTCTGTGACCCTCTCCCTCTGTGACCCTTTCCCTCTGTGATGAGTGCCTCTACCTGCCTGCCACATGTGCCATGATCTGCAGGTGTGGGTGACTAAAGATGGGTTTTTGGGTGGCTGTGTGTCATGCTGTCTCTTGAGTGTGCTTTGTATATGAATCTGTTAATTTGCCTGGTTCTCTCTCCTTTCCTTCTTTGCCTCTGCCAGCTTGTATTCTCTTCTGTTCTCTTCTTCCTCCCTACTGACCCCTTGATTTTTTTCTTCTATCCTGGTTTCCATCTGCTTTTCTACCTGCTTGCTCCTATTATGGTGTCTGCCTGCTTGCCTGTCTGCTCTTCCCTGGCTGGTTGGCAGCCTCTTTCTCTCTCTCTGGTTGTCTGTCTGCTTCTCTGGCTGTTTGCCCACCACTCTCTCTCTAGCCATCTGTCTCCCCGCCTGCCTGTCTCTATCACTTTTTTAGCCTGCTTCTCTTGGTTTGTCTACCCTCCAGGCCCTGCCATGGTTCCCTATCTCCGTTTGCCTCTTATCTTGCCTTTCTGTCTATTCACTTACTTATACCTGTTAAGTTCATGATTTTTCCTTACTTCCCTTTTATGTCTGTCTTCTTGTCTGTCTACTCTACTTGCCTGCTGGTATCCCACTGTTTAATACCTGTGTCTTTTAAACTTCCCACTTACCAGGTTTTTCTCTCTTGGTTTCCTCTATGCCAACACTCCACCAATGGTAATCGTCTTTCTCCCCCCGGCCCCAAACTCTTATCTATCTTCTTGCTGTATCCCCTACCCTGCCTTCTCTCACTACCTGCCTTCATTCTCAGTTATCTCTTTCTGTCTGTCTTTTTGGCTACCCAGTTAGTCTGCCTGCCTCAGTTAGTCTTTTTGTCATTCTCCCAGGATCTTCACTATCTTCCTGCATTTTATTATCTGTTTGCCTGGATGGCTCTTGCTGTCCACATCCTGCTTGCTTTTCTTTTTTCTTTTTTTTCCCCAATCAGCTCTTGAATAGGTAGTACATACACATGGTACACATTTTTTAAAGTATAAAAGGTATTCTGTGAAAAGTAAGACTCCCACCTGTCCCTTTCCCTCAATCCTCTAATTCCTCTCCCCAGAGGCAGCCACTATTTCACGTTTCATGGACATTGTTCCGGAGAACAACACGCGCGCGCGCGCGCGCAAGCACGCGCATTAGCTTACTTGCTTTTCACTGTACTACTTCTCTCCCAGTTTGGCTACATGCTTATGCCTCTCTCAGTCAGGATCCCTTCCTAGTTAGGGGCCTACCGTCTCTTGCCTCTTGTCTTTTTTTATTCTACTTTATGACACTTATCTTTTTGATTGACTAGTTGCTTGTTTCTAGTGCAAATGGTTTGTGCTCAACTTTTAACCTAAAGGTTGGTGGTTCAGATCCTCCCAGCAGTGCCACTGAAGAAAGGCTTGGCAATCTGCTGCCATAAAGATTACAGCCAAGCAAACCCTGTGGAGCAGTTTCTACTCTATAATACGTGGGATCACCATGAATCAGAATCAACTCGATGGCAGTGGGTTTGGTTTTGGTTTTTAGTCACTAGTTTTATGTTTTTACTACCAGTACCTGAGGAGAACTTAGGAAGGGCTTGTTCTCTCCTAATCTGTTCCTGGCAGTCAGTTGGCTTAGTGAGAGCACATCCTTGTTGGTCTCTTCATCGTTGACGTATGTATTAATTGAGAAAAGATGTGAGACCACTGTCAGACATAGCTGTAGTTAATAACTACAAATAGTTTGTAAGCTGAACTGTCACACATACATAGAGTAGATAGAGGCCTACCCTGCTTTTCCCACTTAGTCTGTATGAATTCTTTAAAGGCATATAAATGTAAATCCTTTTAGGTTGTTGACATAGGCCTGCCCAAGAAGTTTGTCTTCCTTCTAGTCTAAAAACTTCTGCTTCTTACTACGACTTGTCTCCTTTTTCATCCTCCCTTTTGGCTTCTCTCACATCCCACCTTAGAGATTTTACAGTTCTTTGGGGCAAAGAAAGACACAGCCTCTATTTATCCAGATCTCTTCCAGAAAGATAATAAGACTTCTACACACAATGCACTGTTCTTTCATTTCTGCTTTTTTACTGCCTGTATTCCTGAGTATAACTGTTTCAGCCTCTGTCTCCTTCTCTCTCCTCTCTTTCCCTTTCTCCCTCTCTCACTTCTCTTTTCTTGGTTCTGTCTTTCGTCTTGGCTGTCTATCTTGGTCTTCATTCTTGCCTCCCTTTCTGATTGGCCATCTCCCCTCTCTCTGTCTGATTGGCCTGTACCCCATCATCACCCCATCTGTCTGCCTGCAATAATGTATGTAATCTAAACTCACTGCCATCAAGTCAATAGCAACTCTATAGGACAGAGTAGAACTGCCCCATAGGGTTTCTAAGGCTGTGATCTTTACAGAGGCAGACTGCCACATCTTTCTCCCACAGAGCAGCTGGTGGGTTCAAACTGCTGACCTTTCAGTTAGCAGCTGAGCACTTAACCACTGTGCCACCAGCACTCCTTATGTATGTTATAGCAATTTATAAATTATAAAGTACTGTGTAGTATAAAACACAGTTATCACTCTGTCTTCCTTTTTTCCTTGTCATTTTCTGCCTTTGCTGTCCTTCTCTCCCTCTACCCCTTTCTGTTTGCCTGTCTGTGTCCCTGTGGGAGATCTTGCCTGCCTCTCTGTCAGTCATTCTTTCTCTCCCTGGCAGCCTGTCTGTTTTTCTGCCATCCTTCTTTATCTGCTCAGTTACTGCATCTCTCCTTCGGTGTTCCCAGGTTTCTCTACATTTCTTTTGCCTGTCTGTTGTCTCTCTTAGGCCTTTTATCTGGGCCTGTGTGTCTCGCTGTCTCTAGCTGCTTGTCTCCCTGCCTGTCAGTTTCAGTGTGGGCTTCACTCTTTGCCTTTTTCTGTCTTACTGTACTTCAAAAAATAAAAATTAAATAAAAAATTTGAAGTCCATATGACTAATTGGTTGAGGAGAGTGCTTTTTCTTTTTTTTAAATAAGAAGACTTCGGGTGAGAACAAGGAACTCAGAAATGCAGCTGTCAAATGCAAACCAGAAATTAGATGGGCCTCTGAAAAAAGAACTAGAAGAAACTTTGTAAGGGACTATAAAGCCAATAATAAAAGACTATTTATTTAAACCAAAAATAAGAAACAATCTAAAGCGATAGTTTCTAACTTTTTCAAATCATAGAAGTTATAAATCCTTTCCCCAGAAGCAAAATATATACACAGAATATCATGTCTGTTCATGATGTTATGAATATTCTGAAGTCCATGGACCCCAGGTTAACTCTTACATAGAAAACCCAATGAGAATGATTGATAAAGTACAGACATGTCTGCATGCAGCAAGCAGATTGAAGGACTGAAAAGAGACTTTGCAATTTATGATTCTCTACCCAAGGAGATATTAAAGATATTCCTAATTGTCTTTTGAAATATGTAGGTTAGTGATATTAATGAAAGGCATAAGTGTTCAGGATATCCTAGATCTAATCATGGAATTTGAGAGATGGAAACTCATCTAAACCAGTGGTTCCCAAATAGCTAAGTAAAGGTGCCACCTCACTTTTCCCGGGAATGTCTGTCTTTTATTCTGAGATTATATGTTTCTTATGTATACTTATATATGTAACAAATGTGTACACAAATATTTCTTATGCACATTTGTATTATATATTTAATATGTTTTTTAAACTTTTTTTAGTGAAATAAGTTAATCATAAAAGAATATTATATGATCCCACTTACATGAAATAGGCAAATGTATAAAGACCAAAGCTTATTAGTAGTTACCAGGGGCAGGAGGGAGGGGGAAGGTGGGAGTAATTGCTTAGGGGGCACTGAGTTTCTCTTAATGGTTGTGGAATAATTTGGAAAAGGATAGTGGTAATGGTTGCATGGCATGATGAATGTAATCAGTGTCACTGAATTATACATGTAAAAATTGTGGAATTGTCAGATGTTTTATTATATTTTTAG